AGTTTTTCCAGATTCATACTTTGTACATTCCATGTTCCGATTTTCAATGGATATTTACATCTGTTTCTCTTCATTTTGAGTTGTTCCTCATCAGCCAATGAAGGTCCTGTGGGCTTTTCTCCCATGGGCTTTACTCCATTCCCGTTATCACACACAACTCTACTTTGAGGAGGCAGCTCTTCTCCATTTGCATTTTGAGTGCCTTCCAACCTGAGGGGTTCATTTTTCGGCACTATATCTGACAGTGTTTCTCTGCTATTCATAAGGTTTTCAGTGACTATATATTCAGAAGTAGTTTGTCACTCTTTCTTCCTAGTCTGTCCACTCCTTCCTAGCAGAGGCATGGTAGCAGCAAAACCAAGAGTTAGAGCAGTGGGCATCCTTGTCCACAAAGGGGTAAAGCTGAGTGCCTAAGAGCAGGAGGCTCATTTGTAGAATGGAATACTCTGAGGCACTTAATTGGGGAACTAGGTTTACTGATCCACTCAGTTAGAACCAGAGCCTGTTGCCTTCAAACTGAGGCTTAGAGCAATGGAATGCCTCTTGAGCATGTACCAGCAGCCCTAAAAGAGCTTTGTACCATTGCCAAAGCAGGTCAGAGATCAGGTAGAGAGAGTGCCAGACAGGCACGGCAGAGAAGAGGCTATGCAGACCAAAGAACTGTGTTCTAAACATTTCTAACCCTGAACTGTAATGTGCTAATCTCTCTAATAAATTTCATACTCCTGAGCATTGTCTTTGAGTTCTATGTGGCCATTGCAATGAGATATCAAACCCAGTTGAGAAGTAGAGAATGCTGTGGGAAGCATGGCTGGTGTCAGAATTGGCAAAGAATATAGAAGACTAGAGGCATGTCTGAGTGCCTTGGGGTGATGTCAAGTTTGATTCTTGTTCCCTCTTTTGAAGTCAGAGGAGATCACACACCACTGCCACACTGGTTTTTTGTTTGTTTGTTTACAGTATGCAATTCAGATGACCAGACCTTCCCTTTTCTAATAGTACATGTTAACGGGGCCATAGCAATGACCCTGTTTAAGTGGGAGCACTTCCCTACTTCCAAAACACCCTCTTTTATGACACAATATGAAATTCATTTTGTACCCCTTCCCTTCTCAAACCAAGTAATTTATAAAATACACAAAACTATAGTGAGTTTACTGAGATCCAATGCACTAGGTGTCCTGGTGTGGTGCTGTGGGCAAATGCATCAGGCTGCAAAGTCATTTTGAACTGCAAGGTTGGTGGTTCAAGCTCACCAGCTGCTCCTTGGAAACCCTACACAGGGTCACTATGAGTCAGAATCAACTAGATGGCACTTAACCACAACAACAATACACTAGAAAGATTTTTTTTAAATGTTATTCTGCATTTAGCACACTCTACCTCCAGTAGTTTCTCATCATAACTGTTATTCTCCAATCTTTTAACTTATCCAACATCTAAGAGTAAATTCAATGCGGATGTAGTCTTAGAAACAATCTACATGCAGAAATGCCACAGAAGCAACCTAACGCTGTAACAGCAGCTTATTTACCATCATTACAGATTACAATTTTCATAGAAAAGGCAGGAAGGGATCCTGAGAAAAATGGGGCAAGAAACAGGAATGTATGCGTGGTTTTTGTGTTTTCCAGCATTCTGTCACTCTTCTCTTACTTCATACATACAAGGGGACTTCAAAAAGTTTGTGGAAAAATAGATTTGAAAGATAATAGAATTTTTCCATGAGCTTTCTGAAGCCCCTCACATATCCTGAATCACCTCATCTGTGCCCATGGTCTTTTCCCCAATGTACACTTTTTGTCTTAACATAAAGCATATTCAGAAAAATTTATCTATTAATAAGGTATAGGTCAATAAGTTTAGTTTCACATTCCT